CTGTTTGTTTAATATAACCCTTATGTAGCTAGTTTATTGAGCCTCTCTATCACCCAAAAGGACCTCAAGTAGCCCAGTATCCATTCCAGCAGCTCCCAGAAGCTGTTCTCAAAAGAGGCTTCCCATCAACATGCCTGTCTCGTTCATGCCTTGGTTTTGCACACTCGCTCTCTCTGGAGAATGTTCTCTGTTCACCCTACTCAAAGTTGCCGAAAGCAGGAAAGGTTCTGATGGGTCACCTGAGCCAATATCCAGTGTGGTGTCCCCTATCAGAGAGAATTCTTCAATCAGGCCCCTTCATAGGCCACTGGTCCTCCCTATGGATGGCCTTTGGCTCAGGCAAGGATCCTTAACCTAAACAGATTACAGGATAGAAGTTTTAGGATTATAAAAGAAACCATGACCTTTCCTTCTTTGTCTTTCTCTTTTTCTTTATTTTTTTCATTCCTTTCTTTCTCTTTTCTTTCTTTCTCCCTCTCTTTCTTTCTTCTCACTCTCCCTCGCCCTCCCTCCCTGCCCTCTTCCAACTTTCCCTCCTTTTTTTTTTAAGATTTTATTTATTTATTCAACAGAGAGAGATCACAAGTAGGCAGAGCAGCAGGCAGAGAGAGAGAGGGGGAAGTAGGCTCCCCACTGAGCAGAAAGCCCAATGTGGGACTGGATCCCAGGACCCTGAGATCGTGACCTGAGCCGAAGGCAGAGGCTTAACCCACTGAGCCACTCAGGCGCCCCCGTTTCTTCCTTTCAATAAGGAAGTTCGAGGATGCTTTTCTCAGGAGAGAGGAGTGTTTTGAGTCTTCCCGGCACTTCACAATGTCAAACCTGACTGCCGTGTGGAACGTGCCCTAGACAGGTTTGGCACATGGCTGTGAAACCCAAGGATCAGAGGGATTGGACCGTAGACGGACTAGACTGTCCCCCCACACATGGCCGGGTCAGAAGGTAACTCACTACAGCGTGAGGACAATGGGCTGTGGAGTCAGTTCGTGTCTAGCGAGTGTCCAGACACTGCCAACTTCTCAGTGTTTAACAGGCCCCGTGACGGCCCCCCGCAGGGAATGCTTGTGCAGTTACGCGTGGTGCGGTGCTTCAGACACAATAAGCGCCCCGCATGGTCTGGGGGCGTGGGTTCCTCCCGTGCCTGCCGCGTGTTGGACGTGTCAGCGCGGAGCACGCAGCCTGGGTGTGAGTGCACCAGCGGCTCCAGGCATCAGCTCTTGTCTGCCTGCGGCTCGCCCAAACCTATTTAAACCAGATTTTCTCCACTCTTTCCCATCAAAAAGAATTGCTTCTGAATATATTCTTTTCTTTTCCTTCCCTTCTCTTGAGAATTATAGCTAGTGGGTCAGAACTGGAAAGCAGAGAGCATGGGAGTCACTGAGGCAAAGGGAGGGAGTGTCAAAGCCAAACTTCTGCAGAAAAATGGACTAGCTTCAAGGTCAGAGAAATGACCTCTATGTGTTTGCAGCAATCATGCCTGTCTCTTGTCTAAAGCTACGTCCATTTCCCACCCTGCACTCCAGCCTTATATTTTAGTGGATCAGTTGGGTAGAATTCAACTCTGCTTGACATTATTGCAAAGGCCTGACCCCACTTATAATTTTGTTAAAATTTCTCCCATGGAAAAATGTATTTCACTGGTCCTAAAACTGTATGACCATTCTGAAAACCCTAGGTTAGCACCTTTGGAAAACAAGTGGATCTTCTCTTAAACCAATTTATAGGCATACTCTTTACTTGCTGAAATGATGTCATCGAGCCAAGGCATCAATAACACTGTGTGTGTCCAATTTCTTTTCCTGTTTTCACATTAATGAGAGCTTCGGTCTGGAAGAAATGAGAGCTCTTGGCACTGCAGAGCCTGGTTAGCAGAAAATATTTCCACAGAGTATGGGACAAAATGTTCTCCCCTATTCTATTTTTATTGGACATGAATTGCATTTATTAATTAAGGCACATGTACCTTAAAAATGAATGAAAAAATGTGTATCAACTGAATTGAAAACAAAAGCTTTCACCACACACACACACACACACACACACACAAGGTTTTGTGACAAAAGGAAACAAAATGAATGAATGAAATACTAAAGGAAAAGACTGGCTTGTTGCTGAGAGTGGAAGTGTATCCTGCATTTTTTAGATGAAGCAGAAATAAAAGGCCAGAGTCTTAAAAAAATCTACTCTAGTCCATCTTTCAAAATTAAAAATCAACTCTCATTTTGCTAGGTGTTTGCCACTGAAATTTAACTTCTGTGTTGGTGCTCATAAACTGAAAAATATAGAGATCAGAAATTTGGTAGGAAACTAAATGCTGAACGCCTACTTAAAAAAAAAAAAAAAAAGGCAAGCAGCCTAAAATGTCAAATGACCAAGTAAAATGTTTACATGGCAACATTTTAATTCAAGCACTTGTAAGTAGTTGAAATGAATGGATGCATTAATGAATGAATGCATGTTGAAAAAAAGGTAGCAGATTCGCTACAACAGAAAGTAAAACTTCATAACAAGACTAGAAAGTGATTTTTATTATTTTGGTAACGGTGTCAGGTTATAGGTAATTACAGATACAGAATGTTTTTAACCTGGTCAATCACGTGGTAAAAGATACACGTTAACCCTGTGTCGCCAAAATGTATTCAGTTACAAGCATGTATGATAGTAGCTCTCTAAGTGTTAAAAGCATCGGTGATAAAATACAAAAATAGGAAAAGGTTAAATAAAAAGTTATCATTGAGCTATAAACATCTACTAAAATACCACACAGTGTGTCATAGCTAAAAACATACAAATTCGTATAAATGCCATGCAACTATCTGATCTAATATAGATCTAATATGGAAATATTAAGGCCATAATAGTATTTCACAGGTGAAGGCTAAGTTCTGAGACGTGAAAGCTTTCAGAGGGGGGGAGAAAAAAAAGCTTTCAGATAACCCACAAAACAAACCTGAGACATCTTTTTGTTTGGAAAAAAGTCATCTTCTTGCAAAGTCAAAGCTTCAGTATATAAAGGAATTATTTAAGGAACAATATACTTTAACTGTTACCATAACCTAGAGAGTAGATATTCTGACTACAATAGCGACCAGCAAATACATTCTTTGTCTGCAAGAAATATAATAAGGTTTTCTGATTAGACCAGTAGCTGGATTACTATAGCCTCCAAGTTTGGTTATTTGTATTTGTTTATTTTGGGTTTCGTTTTCCTTCCTTTAACTAGATTATAAAATAGAGAATAACCAAGTTGCATTTAAATAAGCCAGGTAGCCTCCAGGACCCCTCCTCTCTTCCTCCTTCTCTGTTGCCAGAAGTCCCAGCCGAACTGAACCTACATCTGTACAAACAGATTAGAGTACATCTGGACTTGGTTGACTTAATGAGGCATCCAGATTGGTACATGCTTGCTCTTGTACCACACATGTCTCAGAGTAAGTGGGCTAGGACAGCCTAAAATCACTGTCTTGGCTCTGCTTAGGGGTAGGGGGTAACCACGTTTTAGCATAGTGGGTGACAAAAGAATTTAAATGTAGTGAGTAAGCCCGATTTCTACAGTTGGCTTTAGTGCCTTTAAAAAAATACTGTCACAGGTCTCCATCCTCAAGAGGTAGAGCTATGAGATTTTATCGATTAAAAGCATACGAAATGTTTATTCATAAAAGAATTCCAAATTACAAAATAGATCTTCTGTGTTGTAGATTTTTTTTTAAGTATACTTGGGACTGAACGTTAGCCGGTGATACATTTTTCTAAATATTCATATTTCAAATTTTGTGCTTCAGAGGAATTCAGAGGAATTAATTTGGAATGAGTGGGGGAAAGCTTAATCATATTTCTTCTGTTTCCTTTTCTGACCTTTTTTCTCACCGCCCCTATGCAGAGCCATCAGACATGCTTCCCTTTGTAACTTTGATCAAAAGATTCCCAAAAAGCTTAATAGAATGTAAGAAGCAGTAAACTCTCAGGACATGTATACTTTCCTCTGAAAGTTCACACGCAATGGGAAGTTAAAGCTCCAACCTTCACTTCGAACTTTTGCCACCTTCCATCGTGCGTTTTTTTGTTTTGCCTTGTTTTTTTGTTTTTGCGTGTGTGTTTTAGGTTTTTGGGCTCTTTACATAAACGGAACATATATATTTCCTTCAGGCTTCATGTATTCACAGTTAACAAAGTGGGCTGCTCACCAGGCCAACCATCCTGAACAGCACACCTGATCTGATCAGCTCCAGTGGAACGGGATACAATCCTCAAAACAGCCTCCCAACGCTACCTTCTGATTCTGACTTTCCAAAACACAGACATGGACACTATTTTTTTAAAAATCATTTAAGAAACTAGGCCTAGTATGATGGGAACTTCCCCCCTGGTTTTCTAATAAAGAGAAGATCTAGATAATTCATTGCATATTTCCCTATTCACCAGGCAGACACAGGTTCAATTTCTCTGCCTTGCACAGGCTAACGGTCAGATTTCCAGTAACTTCAATGGAAACTCAACAATCAGAACGGCTTTAAAATTAAATTAAAATTTAAGTATGCTGAGAGTTTGAAATTATAACATATTAACAACATTGATTTCATAAGAAGATTCTAGATTGTGAATATGATTTTTAGAAAGTATGTTGTAAAGTAATAAGGAACGCATCTTAGAGATCCAATTTTGAGACTTTTTAGTTCTGATTCAAGTTGCAGATGAGAGAATGGACTTTGCTTTACGTTAGTTTCCATGATGTCAAAATAGGCTCATTTCAAGTATTTGAGCCTAAATTGGTTGAATTGTACTTTTTGATTGGTCTTTCTTTTGGACAGATGTACATAACTCAAACTTTTCTTAAAATAACTAATACTATTTAATAATCCAATAACTAATACATATTACTTAAGAATAATTATATATGTAAATATATTGAATGGTATTTGGTGAGTTTTTTATTCTACAAGATTTACTGAAATCAGTGCTTTATGATCATATGCCATAAAGCTTAGCTGGGCTGGTAAATCTTTTTTTTTTCTCATCATTGAAATTCTGTATTTTGGCAACAGCAGAGGTATGACTTCGGCTTGGAATTTTTGACGGTTTAACAACTTACACTTCAAAATTCATGATAAATCATCGAAGCCTACTATTGAATCAACCACTATTAATTTCTTTATAAGCAAATGACCTCATGATTTATGCAAAAAAGAGAAAGCACATCGGTAGGCAAAAAGACAAATCCATCCAGAGATACTCCCTAAACTATTTTTTACCAAAGAGGTCAGAAAGGAGTTTCTGGTCTTTACCCTCTTCCCTTGTCACCCTCAATCCCGCATCTTACATTGAAATGATTTGCCTTTGCGTAGTCAACAATATTTTCAGAAATTTTGCTGACTGTGGTTTCCTATGGAGCAGATTTCAGCGCTCAGAACGTCAGTCCTGGATCCCACCCACGAAGGTGTGGTTACTGAACCTGTTCTTCATTAGGTCATTTGTGGGTGCGCATATGTGGGTTTCAACTCCAAAGGATGCTCCCTCAAGATATTATTACCAGCACTCAATATTGTGTAAAAATTCTTTGGACCCTGTAATTCTTTGGCTCCAAAATTCTTCCAGGAGCTCCTTCATAGCCCTGCACTGCTCTGAGCACAGGTGCGTGAAGCCCCTCATCAGCAGGTCCGTTGGTTGATACTCACTTTAGAAGCCAATTGAGAAAGTGGCACAGAGGAGCTAGAAAAGTCTACCCGCCCCCCCACACTTGAGTATTTCCAAAATTTGAGCTCACTTCTGGCTTCTCACTGGCAGCCTTCCTCGGCTTGAAACTTTTGGACAGCCCTATCAAGGAGCGCCATGGACTCTCTGAGAGTGACATTGATTCTAAATGACTTGGGTTTAATGGTCAGACCGTAATTAAAATCCATCGTCGCGGGTTCGTCTGGATTGGCCTTGAAATTGCACTCATGAGCCAGGATGGAAATGAAGAGAAACAGCTGCATCTTGGAAAGCTCTTCCCCAATGCACCGCCGTTTGCCCACTGAAAAAATCATCACGCTGCTGGCCAGGTCCTTGTCGATGAAGCCGTCCTTGTCCAAGAACCGGCCCGGATCAAAGTCCTCTGGGTTAGGCCACTTTGCCGGGTCATGATTCACAGACCACTGGTTAACAAAAACCACCGTATCCTTGGGAATGTGGTAGCCCAAGACGGAGGCGCTGGTGGTGGTGGCATGAGGAATGGTGACAGGCACAAAGCTGGAGAATCGCATGGCTTCGTAAAGAAAGGCCATGACGTAGGGCAGCTTGGGCTGGTCGTCCAGGCAGGGCAGCCGGTCTCTACCCACGACTTGATCCAGTTCGGCCTGGACCCGAGCCTGCACTTCAGGATACCTGTTGGGTTGTTAACACAGAAGGAGAAAGTAAGGGAGGCAAATTAATTCTTTCATCTAGGAAGTGCATGACCGTTTATTTTCATGCCATTTTCTTTATCTGAATCAGTGGCTGAGTTAACACAGCCAGCCCCCTAAAAAGAAAACAATCCCAAACAGTTTCCTACTTTCTCACTAAATTACGGGATGGGTAAACTAATAGTTCTATTTCCTGTAGCAAGCCTCACCTGGCTGATGCTCTTTTCCAATCGTAAGTCGAAAACAGTCTTTAAGTTTTCTAGTCTGAAAAAGCTCCTAACAAAGACAATTTCTCCATGAGGCACAGGAGACAGTGCCAAGGACCCACAAAACTTTCCAGGGGCTCATGAAAATGTTTTCATTTCATTCAAAATCAGGGAACAAAAAAAGGAGCTGTTAGGTCAAAGAAAATGTTTTAATACGTAATTTTAACCTAATTATCTTTATTCCAATGTAGTAATAAAATGTCACTGAGAAATCTATTATGACGTAAGCCGTCTACAGAGGCAAGAGCACCCAGGGTCCACAAAAGTCAAAAAAGCAGCCTCCAAAGCGGATCCTTTTTTCTCTCATTTCCCAAGATAATTCTAGGACATACACTGCTCTCACTTCACACAAATTGGTATCCTGATAAAGCTACACATCTTCTAAACTTAAAAGGAAATTCCCAGTGTTCGATGGTACAAACTATAATGCTTATCACTGTTGGCAATACAAATAGTACTGTCCTTTTGGAGAACAAAATCTGCGTACGAAGCAAGATGCAGAAAGGTAATCCCTCTCCGATTTTTTTTTTAAGATTTTATTTATTTGACAGACAGAGATCACAAGTAGGCAGAGGCAGGCAGAGAGAGGAGGAAGCAGGCTCCCCTCTGAGCAGAGAGCCCTGATGCGGGGCTTGATCCCAGGATGCTGGGATCACGACCTGAGCCACCCAGGCGCCCCCCCACCGATCTTTTTAAACCCAGTAATCCATGCCTAGATATGTATGTGCAGGAAACAATAGATCCAAAAATATGTAACTATAACAATAGCCGAAATTTTAAAAATGCAATCAACAGTGTTAAAAGAAGTGATCATATATAATGGCTATTATGACAAAAATACTAGAGAGCCATCAAAAATCACTAAAATAAAGTTTTAAAAAACAGGGAAATGTCCATTACAGTAAGTGAAAATGCCAGAAGTTTAAAAAAAAAAAAGTAAATTAGTATTGCATCTCTGAAAAAAAGTTAAGCATGTATGGTATGAAATTATGGTTGATTTAAAAAACTGCCTCATGAACATCATACTTCAGGGGTCTGCAAACCTTTTCATGAAAGGCCAGATAGTAAGTATTTAAGGCTTTGCCAATCAAACCCCTGTCACAACTATTCAGCTCTGCCTTGTGCTGTGAAGGCAGCCATAGAGAATACATAAACGAATGGGCATGGTTGTATTTTGCTAAGAAACTTACATACAAAAATGTGCAGTGTAATTTGCTAACCTCCGTCATACTGTCTTTTCACTAAAAAGAAGAAAAACGTATTCATCAGCTATATTGAATTGAAAGTGACTCCAAAATTGTTTTATTTACTTATGCTGCCCAATTCAGTTTCTGATTTAAAAAAGAGAGAGAGAGAGAAGTTTCAAAAGATGATATGCTTATGGAGGGACATAGAAGACCTATCGATCTCCTTTTGGGATGTCTTCTTCCCAATCTGTTATCGACTTCTTTGTATTTGATTTCTGCTCATTGCCCATATGTGTTTCTGGGCTCTTAATACTGAAATGCAATGTTAAAAATACAAAAAATTCAGTTTATAAAAGTACCTGCACCTGATCTGAGGTTGGAAGATTCTAATAAGAAAAGAAACAGTCTTTGCCTTGCAATGTCTGGATTGCCAGCAAATTCAGCATTCCCCCTTATTAGAACCTTCCCCCCCCCGCCGTGGCTCCCTTCTGCGCCAAGAAATGGCACAACCAGGACTTCAGGTATCTCAAGGCAACTACGATGTGCCTTGAGTGAGCCATCTGTCCCGGAGCAGCGGCAGGCTGCTATGTTAAATGTATAATTTATGTTTAAATTTCAGATAAACAATGGTTAATCTTTTAGCAAGAGCATGTCCTGCGTGAATTTTATTTTTTATTTCTAAGTCTGGCAACACCCTTTACCAGCAACCCGTTTGCTTCCTGCGTGTAGAGCTTCCCAGAGCTCTGCGACCGTAATCCAGGTGGGCACTGCCGATCAGTCTGCCCACCGAGCCGGGCCCGGGGACCAGAGAAGTGCGTCCGCAGGCGCCTCCTGGATGCCCCGTTTGCCCTCCCGGACGCCGCTCTGCGCTCAGTACAAGTGACTGCTTCTGCGGTTTTTTAACTCGGTTACTTTAAACACAACTAGCGCGGTGGTTTCATAAACCCAGCACAACCTGCTAGTCTCTGGCCGCCTTCCCAGAGCTTCCGTGCCGGGTAAGCGCTGGCGGGGCTCCCTGTGCCCGGGAACAAAGCCCGGACGCGCGGCTGGCGGGCAGCGCGGGGGCTGGGCGGCCTGTGCTCTGCGCCGGGGACCCGCCGGACCAAGGAGCCTCCGTGTTTATTGAACGTATCCCCCGTTACCCTTTCTTTCGGAACCGCGCCGATTTTGCTTCTGTTGTGCCGAGGAGGCAGAGATCAGGACTGCTCTGAGGACACTTAGAAGATCCTGCCTTTCAGGCAGCTCTCACAATTCTGTCCCCACTTGAAGGGGTAGCGAGCGACAAGATCAAAGCCGCGGTCGGTCCGGGCCCGGCTGGGTAGGGTGCGCGCGCGGTCTCCGAGATCTCAGCTTGGAGAGGTGCGGACCTGACGCGGAACCCCAAACCCTGGGCGTTGGTCGCGCCCTCAGCGTATTCCAGCCCCACTCCGCCCTTTCCAGGCGAGGAAAGGCCCGGCCCACGCCTCCTGGAGGCTTTACCTGGTGAAAAGGATGAGCAGCCACTGCAGAGCCGTGGAGAGCGTGTCCTGGCTGGCGCCGAAGATGTCGGTGACAGTGGCCGGCACGTACTCCAGGTCCAGCCGCGCGCCGCCGCCGTCCGAGCCCTCCGCCGCCGCCTCGGTTCCTGCCGAGAGGATGCAGGCGTCCATCATGTCGCGCGGGGCGGCCCCGGGCTGCAGGCTTTCACGGTGCCTCAGGAACTTGTCGAGGACGAAGTTGCTGAAGTTGCGGTTGACCTGCTGGAACTCGCGGAAGGCGGTGCGCACCGGGTTGGGAAAGCGCCGCAGCCAGGGCAGCACGTCCACCAGGCTGCCCGCGCCCACCGTGCGCCCGAACTCCTCGTTGTGGCTGAGCAGCTCGCGGAACTCGGCGTCGTCATGGCTGTAGCGGCAGCCGAAGCACACGGCGCTCATGACGTTGGCCACGGCTACCACGGTCAGCGGCCGAGGGTCGAGGAAGGCGCCGCCCGCGCTGCCGCGCACCAGCAGCGCCACCAGCTCGCGAGCCTCGCCCAGCACGTGGCCCTCGAGGACTCGCCGGCTGCGCGGCTGGCGCGTGGAGAAGGCCCGCATGGTGCTTTGCGCCGCGCGCCGCTGCACCTTCCAGAGCGGGGAGTACTGGCCGAAAGCCAGGCTGCGGCCGCCGGACACCACACGAAAGGAGGCGAAGCGCGGCCGATCGGCAAAGGCGGCGCCCTGCTGCACCAGCGCCTGGCGGATGGCGCGCTCGCCGTTCAGCACCACCACCCGGCAGTTGCCCAGGCGGATCTGGAAGACGTCGCCGTAGCGCCGCGCCAGGCGCGCGAACGAGAGGTGCGGCGCCGGGCCCATCGCCGCCGCGTTTCCGATCAGCGGCCACGCGAACGGGCCCGGCGGCGCGGACCCCGGCTGTCGCCGCCGCTGCCTCAGCAGCCACTGGCCCACGTGCACCGCGGCCAGCACCGAAAGGAGCAGCAGGAGCGTGGTCTGCTGGGACGACAGCGCGCTCGGCTGCAGGCGAGCATCGGGACCGAGGCTGGTGGCCATGTCGGAGAGAGATGGACGGAGGCGTGACGCTCAGGTGTGCGGAGGAAGGAGCCGGCGCCCTGCGCCCCTACCCCTGGCGTCTGGCTACGCCGCGCTGTTGGGAAGGAGGAGGTGGCGCGTAGGTCAGCTCAGGGCGCGCGCACTGGGCAAGCAGCAGAGGACGCTTCTTCCCGGCCCAAGCCCCTTCCCCTAAGGAGAAGGGAAAGAGCGTGTCTCCATCTCTCTGTGCCCCGAACTCTCCGTCCCCACCTCAACCCCCAGAGGCGTAACGGTCCCAGCAATTAGGGGACAACCCGGAGGGCATCAAGACGGAGGCGCTCCGTTCCCTCTTGGTGCCTACCACCCTGGCCCGACAAGGTCGCGGGAAAGCAGCTCCGCGGAGAACTGACCTGCGAGGTGGCGCGGTTTCCTGCGGCACGGGATGCACGTTTCCGAAACAGGGCTGGGGCCTTTGTGGAGGGCAAGAGGTCTCCAGGAAATCGGAGACCTCGCCGGGACACCTGCTGCTCTGGGAGCTTGAGCACCCACTCAGGAGCCTCTAGGCGTCGTCCGAGCCAGGGGCGCTGGGACTGGGATGCGGACCGAGAAGGGTCCCTCCTTTGCCGATCGCCGCTATACCTGGGGCCTCTGCAAAGCGGGGTTTTCTCACAGAGTGCGGACTGAGACTGGGGGGTCAACCAATGCAGTCAATTCCCATCCCTCAGGACGCCCGCGTGTCTCCGACAGCTGGTGTCGCAGAGGCGTGGCCCGTTTGCGCACAGTCACTCCAGAGCTGAAACGCGCCATCCCGCCCGACTTTTAAGGTCTACATCGGGCGGGTGGACCTGGCGGGGCGGGGCTTGCGGGGGGCGGGGCGCCGGGGAGGTTCCAGCGGCTCAGACCCCTAACCCCGGTCGTTGTGCTCCCGTGGTCACGCAAGGCGGCCGCGATTCTCCCGACGGCCTTGGCACAGTGGCTGTCGGCTTTGCCAGAGCTGCGGTGTGAGCTTCCCGTTTGCCGGAAAACCACTCTTCATCAGTCCCTCCCCAGCGAAGCCGCAGTTTCCCGGAAGCGCGCTGGGAACAGAACCTGCCCGTCCCGCGGGGCTCTCGGTGGGAACGCGCCCCCCGCCTGGAGCGCACGACCCGTCTTCCCTCTCGGTGACTGAGCTCCGTTCCCCGAGACAAACCCGTTCGGGATCCTTGGGCGCCCGGGCCGGGAGAGGGAACCTGTCGGTTTAGGAACGCGGACTGCCCGGGTTATGGTGGCGACTTGCCTTTACAGCATATCCCCAGTTGTTTTATTTTATTGTAACTTTCTTGCAAACAAATAGGCCCCTCCGATGAGGCCCTTTGGCGGGCAAAGTTCTCCTTCCACCTTGTGCAGCGAGATCAAGAACCCCGAAAGATGCCGCTCCCAGACCCCGGCGGTGCTGGGCACACAAAGGCCAGCGCTGGCCGCGCGCAGCTGGCCGAGAGGCTTCCCGCTTCGCAGTCCCCCAAGGTGGCGCCGCCCCCAGCCCCGCGCGCGGTCGGAGACCCTCGGCACAGAGCCGGGAGCCAGGCTGGGGCGAACGCGGGGCTAGGAGCGGAGGGAGGGCGCTCGGAGGATCGCGGAGGGAGGGCAAGGGGGAGGAGGAGCAGGAGGCCGTTCTCCTCGCGCCTACCAATTTCATCGGGTTGAAGTTTCCTCTGCTGTCCCTCCCCCTTGCGTGCAGAGCAGACCTTTGCGTGCCCGGCTTCTGGAAAGTCTTGGGCTCCGGTCATAGCCTTGGGCGCTTCTCACGGCACCTGACACGCCGAGGCGGCGGGGGCGGCGGCCCAGGGCGGGAAACCTGCCACCACCGCCCTCCGCGGCGCACGCACGGCCGCACCCCGGGGGCCAGCGGAGAGGACGCCCTGACCACCCTATCGGGAGGCGGATCTGGGCGCTGTGAACTCGAGATGGGGACGCTTCCTTTGAAGCGGAAGCAAGAGGTGCTCCGTCCGCGGTGGCTTCCCCCGCTGGCTGCGCCCTCCCTTTACCAGCTGGTACAAAGCATTTTCAAGCCCCAGGGGAGAAAAGGGCTTCTCGGCAAGGTTGGGGAAAGGGCGAGCCGGGGAAGGGTGAAAAGTCTGGTAGTTGACCAGGGTGGAATTGTACCTCCGGGCCTCTGGGATCCTCAAGTGTCATAAAAGTTGGGGGTTTACCACGTGACAACTCTGCGCTTTGAGTATTACCCACGCTGGGAATCTCTATTGTTCTATTGCTTCTCAGTTTGCAGAGGTGGAAACTGGTGTTCGGAGAGGTTATGTGACTTAACCAAGATCACACGCACTGCAATAATACAATTACAGTCATACAGTATAATCTTGGGGCGCCTGGATGGCTCAGTCTGTTAAGCTTCAGACTCTTGATTTCGGCTGAGGTCATGATCTCAGGGTTGTAAGATTGAGCCCCGTGTCACCTCCCCCCTGGATGTGGAGACTGCCTAAAATTCTCTCTCTCTCCCTGTTCCCCTCCACCCCTTTCATTCTCCCTTTTAAGTAAAAATTAAAAAAAAAAACAAAAACAAAAAACACTGTAATCTTAAATGATTCTTTTCAAGGAAGTGATTGAAATGCTTGATGGTTTTCTCCCCTCCCTACCTCTTACCACATCTCAAGAGGTGAAGCCAGAATTCGAATCCCCCTCAGTCTCTTTCCAGATCCATCAGACAAGTTTATGTGGAAGGAAATCTTCAGGTGAGAAAAGCACAAATGCCATCTTTCCTGCCTGCTTTAAAAAAAAAAAAAAAATCAGCTGGAAGAATTTTTTTGAATACTTGATTTTGTTTATGGAAGTGAGGACTCTGAGGTTCACAAAGAAGAAATAGTGTGGTTCCCTTTTGCAGTAAAACTGGATGAGGGAGGCCTGTGGACTATGCCTCATAGCTGACCTGGAACTAAGTGGTTAAATTTTAAAGAAGCCCAAAGAGATGTCTGAAAATCATACTTTGTGAGAGACTGAAACCAACAATAAAATATCTGACCTGATAAGAAAATGCTTTTTGTAAAAGTCTCCATTCAATAGTTTTTGAGAGGTTCTCTCTGGAAATGATGTCACACACTGTAACAGAGCCCTCAGATCCATGATGAAGTTGTTTTTGAGCGATGGAATAAATAAACATTGGTTTCAGAGCTGGGTTGGTCTACACACCCTTTGAGATGAGTTTCATAACTTTACAATGTCCAGCTTTAGCAAGCCCCTTGCCTAATAATTCAGTTCAAGACAGCTGCACGCATCAGTCTCTCAGTAGGCTTTAATTTAATAGACGGGAATTGTCTATGGACTTATGCCAATTCTTAGCTATCAACATTCCTAAAAGCTCTATGCCAGTAGCTCTACCAGAAACCAAGCAAATAGGGGTTGCCTTTAAACCAAGTAGATTACTCTTTTCAAAAGTATAACCCAAGGCTGTTCTTAAGACCTCTTGTTAGTAATTCCTGAATAATGCTGTATGTGTAGTCTTTAGGTAAACTAGATGCATGCCCTCTTGCCGTAGAGAATAGTTTAAGCATATCCTTCAAGCTGTGGTGCGTTGGGCTCAGCTCTTATTCTAGGACATGCTTTAAAAAGCAGAGTACCCAGCTGGGCCTGTCCTGTCAAAAGGACAGGTCCTTATGGATTATGACAAACCCAAGTGACTGGCTATGGTAACAGCCTCTTCAGAATTTGCAGGTCTCGGATTCTCTCAGACTTCGTGGTGTAGACCTCTGTTGGAGGACCCATGTGGTACTTGATGGAGATGTAGGGTGAATCCTAGGTGGCCCGTAGGGACCCCTGACCCAGCTCGAGGCAGGGCCTTCCCTCTAGTGAGAATCCACACCAGGCTCTTCGGTCAACAACACAACTTCTCAACCAAAGCCAGTAGTATTTAAGGCCCTAGGATCCCCTTTCAGTCAACAGCCTGGGATGTGGGGATTTCACCCTCCCAAATCCCCAACTTGAATTATGTGGGGCAAATAACTTTCAAAAGAACAGCTAAGCTAGAGAGAGAGTTTAAGGTGGAGGTTTAAAATACCTTATATCATACTGATTCCAAAGAACAGAAAACCAGCTTAAGCTTGTTTAAGCAGAACAGGAAAGCCCTAGCTTGTGCTCAGAGAAGGATAACTGTGGTACCTTACAGGATGGAAGGATCTGGAGCCACTCTCTTCGATCTCTATCATGCTGGTCTCTGCCTGGGCTTTGTTCTGGAGACTGTCCTTTCATGCTGGGAAAGCTGGCCATAGGCAGCCCCAAATGGACCACTCCAAGAATAAGAGAATATTTTTCTCCCACGGTCATTATACAAGACCCCGGAAGGACTCTGACAAGCCAGGCCAGCAACAGGCCACCCTGTGGCCAATGTTCCAGGTCTGATATCGGGAAAAGAGGGATGTGGGAAGAGAGAACATGCTAGGAAGCCAAAGATAAAAGCCCCCTCAGTCCTCCTGTATCTCACTTCTGTCCATCACTCCCTTTTGGGTTGAAGAATACCTCAAGGGTATCATCATCATCATAATTTGGGTTTTTTTTTAGATTTTATTTATTTATTGGGGGAGGGGGAACAGAAGGATAAGGAGAGGGACAGACTCTGCACTTAGCATGGAGCCCAGCACGGGACTTGATCTCATGACCCTGAGATCATGACCTGGGCCGAAATCAAGAGTCAGGTGCTTAACAGACTGAGCCACCCAGGTTTCCCTTCATCGTCATTTTATTTTTTTTTATTTTATTTATTTGACAGAGATCACAAGTAGGCAGAGAGGCAGGCAGAGAGAGAGAGAGAGGAGGAAGCAGGCTCCCCGCTGAGCAGAGAGCCTGCTGCGGGGGCTCTATCCCAGGACCCTGGGATCATGACCAGAGCCGAAGGCAGGGGCCTTAACCCACTGAGCCACTCAGGTGCCCCTTCATCGTCATTTTAAATCAGCAAATCAGATGGCTGCATTACACCTGGAGCCCCTACCCAGGAAAGTCAGCCTTTACATCATCAGGCTAGAAGTCGGTTTTCATGCTGGGCTTTCCCTCCAGCATAGTCCTCTAGCACATCATTTTGCCCCTGAATGCTGTGCTCTTCCAACCCCCTCCAAACACCATATGCACATGCAGTGAGAGGAGAAGGGAGTAGAAGCAACAGCCCCTGGCAAGACTTTGACATACGGGACGCACAAGACATTGTCATCAGACCCATGCTAGCAGGCAGAGAAACAGCCATCGGGAGATAAGCATGTGTCCCAGGCAACTGAGAGGCGGCAGAGCAAGGAGGAGGAGGAAGCCACAGATCATGTGCTGGGACTTGGGAGGATTCTTAGGAGGTGATACCAAACCCTGTGCCCCACCTGACCTGCTTCTCCTTCCTTCCTCCTGGTAATACACAGGCTAAGAACCACAGAGGTAAAAAAATCTTTCTTATTTCATCTCATCGAAGAAGTTATCTTTTGTGGGATGCACTGTTGTTTTATGCACTAATATAAATAAACACAGGGGCTGCCACTTACAATTATGCCACCAGTTAATAAGACATGGTCTAATTTCACAGATGTTAAAAATGTCCTCAGTGTGTTTTAGGATCGACAGAGCACTGCGTGCTGGTGGTGATCTTTGCTGCCTTTGTATTCAGTAGTGGGGGTCCCGAGAGCTCTTAGATAAGGCATTTGGAGCCAGGAGTGTCACCTACCAAAGCCATCTCCCCTTCCATTTTTTTTTTTTTTAAATTTGATGTGAACAACTGATGTTTCTTCAATTTCATGTAAAGCATGGGGAGAAGCTGCTTTGGAAGATTTTGCTAATTTTATTGACCTAAATAAACCC